CAAGAATCTACAACAAGACCGCTAAGTCTACTACACATGGATCTATTCGGTCCAGTAAACCCAGTAAGTCTAAGTGGTAAGAAATATACACTAGTTGTTGTTGATGATATTTCCAGGTACACATGGACGATATTTCTCAAAAAGAAAAATGAAGTGGAGCAAAAGTTGCCAGAATTGCTCAAGCTACTACAAAATGAGAAAGACTTGAAAATTGCAAAAATCCGAACTGATCATGGAACTGAGTTCGTGAATCAAGTAATTGAAGCCTACTGCAATTCTCAAGGAATTCTACATCAATTATCTGCCGCACGTACACCTCAACAAAACGGTGTAGCCGAAAGAAGAAATAGAACGCTAAAAGAAGCCGCATGAGTGATGATTACGTCAGCCGAGCTACCTAAAAGATATTGGGCTGAAGCAATCAACACCGCTTGCTACATGCAAAATAGAAGCTTGATACACAAGTCTTACAATAAGACTCCGTACGAATTATGGAAAGGGAGAAAACCTAAACTTAATTATTTTCATACTTTTGGCATCAAATGTTTTATTCTTAATAATGGTAAAACATATCTAAAGACTTTTGATGAGCGTGCAGATGAAGGAATATTTTTGAGATATTCATCTACCAGCAAAGCATTCAGAGTATTGAACAAGAAATCAATGGTGGTAGAAGAATCAATTCATATTACATTTGATGAAGCTCATAAGAAGGAAACCCAGAGCAACAAAAATGATCAGGAAAGTTGTCAAGTTGAAAAGTCATTAAATGATACTGACATATCTTTTAAAGATCAAATTGTACAGGGTATGGAGCAATTGGACATTGATTGCAATAGTGAAGGACACGTGGAAGCTAATGGAGATCTCCACGTGGAAAATCAAAATTCTCAAGTTGAAACACAAGTTGGAGAACAATCTGATGAGCAAAATGTGCCTACCTCCAACTTACCTACTGAGCAAGGAAACATGGAAAGCCCATGCAACCTACAACCTGACTTGAGATGGCTCAAAAATCATCCTCCAGAGCTAGTGATTGGAGATCCACGAGAAGGAGTAAAAACAAGGTCCTCAAATATACATACTTTATTTTCTTGTTTTCTTTCTCAAGTGGAGCCCACAAGCATTGAAGAAGCTCTAAGTTATCCAGATTGGATTAATGCAATGCAAGAAGAGCTTGATCAATTTAAAAGAAGTGACGTATGGGAATTAGTTCCAAGACCTGAAAATTACAATGTAATTGGAACAAAATGGGTCTTTCGGAACAAGGCAAATGAGGATGGAATTGTCATTCGAAATAAAGCACGATTAGTGGCCAACGGATATTCACAAGAAGAAGGCATAGACTTCGATGAAACGTTTGCACCTGTTGCAAGACTAGAAGCCATCAGAATATTTCTAGCTTATGCCGCGTACAAGAATTTCACTGTCTATCAAATGGACGTGAAAAGTGCATTTCTAAATAGCTTACTTGAAGAAGAAGTCTACGTTGAGCAACCACCCGGTTTCGAGGTAAAAGGTGATATTGATAAGGTCTACAGATTAAAGAAGGCGTTATATGGGTTAAAACAAGCACCGAGAGCTTGGTATGACACCCTATCAACGTTCCTAATTAACTGTGGTTTCACAAAAGGCCTTGTTGATAAAACCTTGTTCAGAATTCAAGAAAATGATCACATTTTATTCGTACAAATTTATGTTGATGATATTATCTTTGGTAGTACTAATAAAACTTTATGTGAGAAATTTTCCAAGCTAATGCAGAATAAGTTCGAGATGAGCATGATGGGAGAGTTGAACTACTTTCTTGGCTTACAAGTAAAGCAACTCAACGAAGGAATATTCATCAATCAGGCCAAATACACAAAAGATCTTATAAAGAAATTCGGTCAAGATGGAAAATCCTCAATCAAGATCCCGATGAGCACATCTTTAAGATTGGATAAAGATGATGAAGGCAAGGACGTTGACGAAACAAAATATCGAGGAATGATTGGATCAATACTATATCTCACTGCAAGTCGACCAGATATATCTTACTCAGTGGGAGAATGTGCTAGGTTCCAGTCAAAGCCAAAAGAAAGTCATTTTCTTGCTACCAAGAGAATCATCCGATACCTAAAAGGAACAGTCAATGTGGGATTATGGTATTCCAAATAAGGTAATTTTACACTAACTGGTTTCTCAGATGCAGATTTTGCAGGATGTAAAATCGATTGAAAAAGTACCTCAGGGACATGCCAGTTCTTAGGGGGAAGATTGGTATCATGGTTTAGCAAAAAGCAAAACTCCATAGCTACAAGTACAACCGAAGCTGAATATATAGCCACTGGGAGTTGTTGCGCGCAAATTCTTTGGATGAAACAACAGCTGAAATATTATGGCGTGAATTGTGAAAATGTCAACATATTGTGTGACAATACTAGTGCCATAGCCATAACACATAATCCTGTGTTACATTCAAGAACAAAACACATTGATGTGAGACATCATTTTATCCGGGATCATGTCGAAAAAAAGGAATTGTCAATTGAATACATCCCGACCGAGAATCAAATAGCTGATATTCTCACAAAGCCTCTGTGTGAATCAAGATTTTCGAAATTAAGACACGAGATGGGCATGATTGAATTGAGCTAAGTTTCTAAACTCTATTTAAATTAAAAGCTCAATTTTCATCTGAAAAATTCGTTACTATATCTGATTCAATTAGTTTCGTGCCTATGTGTCACGCATGCAAATTTGTCACATCTTAACATTTAAGTCTACAATAAATATTGAAAAAGCACATATTGCATGCATGTCTAACCGTGTATTTATTCACCTATATGCACAAATCAAAATTATTTAGATTTACACAATCTTACCATTTAAGAGTTGACAAGATGGTATGATGATGAGTTATCTTAAATGAGAGCATCTTTTTATGGTAGTTGCACATAATAAATAGTCTAAACGTGTATATATACATGCACATATTATTTTTGGAACAGATTTAGTGCTCTATGAATTTTATTTAAGGTAAAATCAGTTCGAGCACCTAAATTTTTGGCGCCACATCAGCAGACAAATTGAATGGAGAATATATAACCTAAACTAATACTACTACACAGCAGGCTTTTAACGTCGGCTAAATAGAGCTTTTAACGTCGGCTATGTTCCGTAGTTGTTCTGGGCGACGTTGTAAATATTATCTATAACGTCGGCTATATAAATAGCCGACGTTATATATTATTTTAAAAAATAAATAAATAAAGTTTACAACGTCGGCTAATAGCATTTAGCCGATGTTGTATAGTATTTAAAAAAGAAAAAAAATACTTACAACGTCGGCTATTAGCATTTAGCCGACGTTGTATAGTATTTTAAAAAAAATTAAAATACTTACAACGTCGGCTAAATGCTATTAGCCGACGTTGTAGGTATTTTAAGTTTTTATAAAATACCTAAAACGTCGGCTATTAGCATTTAGCCGACGTTGTAAGTATTTTAATTTTTTTTAAAATACTATACAACGTCGGCTAAATGCTATTAGCCGACGTTGTAACCGTTATTTATTTTTTAAAAAAATATATTCAACATCGGCTATTACTTAATAGCCGACGTTGTATGTTTTTTTGTTTTTTTTTTTTTTTTAATATACAATTTATTTGTCCATTATTTATACCCAAAAACCTGCTCAAATCTACTCACAACAACAACCACAACCTAAACCTGCTCAATTTCTCACAACCACAATCAAAACCTACTCAATTATTGCACCACAACCACAGCAAAATATGTACAATCTAATATTTATAATGAAACAAGTAATAAATCTCACAATTTGATACTAATTAATAATACAAGTTAACATTATCAAAAGCTAATATCAATTTGTTCAATTTACATACTTAACCATACATCAACAAAGAAAAAGAAGTCGGCCCATACGTCTCTTACTTGATCAATTTCTTGTTGAGTGTAGCTCGATCTACCAACTCTCTCAACAATCTACAAAGTTGATAATTATTAAATAATTAGTAAGCTAGCATTTTTAAAATTAGAAAGAGAAAGGTATTATATTAAATTACATGCCTTATTCATTCCAGCACATGCTTCTTTGGAAAGAATTTCAAGCATGTATTTTATCACATAATATCCACATGCCGTACTTCCAACTTGTTGAGCACACTACATTTGAATTAAATTACATTTAAAATTTTATTTAATAAAAAATAATAAAATATATGTAGTTTTACAAATGTATAAAATACTTACCAAAACCTTACCTCCATTTTGGTGAACGAGTTGATCCATTGCTTCTCAACAACTTTACTGAACTGACACACCTAAAATTGAAACATTAGGATCAACGTAACACTTGGAAAATATATAAGTACTTAATACATAATTACTGCAATTATAAATAGTACCCCAAAAAAAGAAGTTAGAAGACTCTTAAACCAGTGGTTACTGTTTAGGATTCTCCATTCAGCCTGTGTAGGGCAACCTGCCATAATGAATGGACTTTAAGAAAGAAGAAAAGGATGACAGCCAATTAACAAGTTCATATACTTATAGCCAGCCCGATGGTTAAGTATCGAGCTCTAACGACTATTTGTATTGACTCAAATTCAAAGAGACGACAGAGTACGTTTGAGTCGTTTAAGCATATAAGATTAAGAGTTTGAACTTAATTTCATCCAACGAGATGCAGATACCAGCAAAGCAGTATGCAAGAAAAAGAAAGAAAAAAAAAGTATAATTTATATTTGACAATGTTCATAATAATCTTGTGGGATGCCAGGATACTTGCAAGCATTAGTGACAGACTCAGAGGATAGGCCGCATTCCTGGTTCAACAGGTTCTCTGAATTCCCGGGAGCTACTGCCATCGATCTCTAACTTTTTGATGTCTCTACCATCTTCACATTATATCACACAACAACTGGTTTTCAGTTCCCTGTTATGTGGGAAAATGTAGGTTTAATTTGTACATTCTATTATATAGAGCCAATACCTGCTGTCTTAATCGTTCATTTTCTTCCATTAAATGCACTCCCTGCAATTTTTGAAACTTCAATTCACCACTGTGAGTACTCAACCTTAAAACAACACTAGTATACCTTTTCTTGAAGCTGGTTTATTTCCTTCATAATCTTTTCACCCTGACAAATTAGTCGAAAAAATAAATGTTTGTGAAAAATATAATAGACCATATATATAATCATAACAATAAACCATAATATCACTGGGTAGCACAAATTAAACCTTATTGTTGATAACATGGCCCAAACCTATTTGAAGGGGCCTCTCCAACTGCTGCAACTCTTCAATACTCAATTCTTGAAGCTCCTCTCCCCTCATTTGCCTGTTCATATATAGCCAAGACTACATCTTGATTTTAGTATACATCATTTAGCCAAGAGTACAGAAAACAACACACAAATTAAACTCACCTCAGCTATTGCATTTCACTAGAAATATCATCACAACTTAGTAGGTTAGATGTCACATTGGTTCTAATGGGATTTTTTATTTTTTTTTCTTTTGGTGGTTCTTGATATTCTGGAGCAACGTTAGTATAAATAGCAAAGCTTATAAATTTGGAATGGTAACTGAGATGTCATCACACTACATGGTAGTTGACAGCTAACTAAACTTATTACTTACAAATTTGACAAAAATAATTTTATAAGCCATTGTTAACAGTTGCACATTACATAATAGCTAATGTAATCTCATTTTAATTTCTTACAAATCGAACAAAGATATATAACCTTTCATTACTCAATGTTGATGCAGCTAATGACATTAAGCTAGGTACAGCTAAAGACTAGGCATTAAGCTCAACTTTTCTAAGTGCAGCTTTGCCAAGATCAATGCCACACACATCAGACAGCCTCACTAGGTACAGCAAAACATCAGAGAGCTCTTCTCCTAGGTATGTCTTTTCTGCCTCTTCCCACCAATTCATTAAATGAAGTCCAACAACAAATTAATCCATCAATTCATATCTTCTAAATTTTCAACTAACCTCAATATTCGTTAATTCTAGAGTTGTTAATCCTATATTATATAATTTTAAAAAATTATTATTAAATACTTAATTAATTTTTTCGTTATTAAGTTAGAGAATTTTGTAGAGTTATACCAATAACAAATTACCAATTACAATTACAAATTATATACAAATAATTACCGATTACAAAACAATCTAGAATATACCAATTACCAAATATATACAAACAAACACTAAAATGCAAATAAATGGACTAAAAATCGAAATTAATCAATAATAATTACAAATATATACAAATAAACTCAAAAATGCAAATAAATTGACTAAAATTCAAAATTAATCAATAAAAATTACAAATATATACAAATAAACCCTAAAATGCAAATAAATTGACTAAAATTCAAAATTAATCAATAAAATATACAAATATATACAAACAAACAAACCCTAAATTGCAAATCAATTTAATAAAATTTGAAATTAATTAATAATAATTAATATATATATATAAATACACATATATATATATACATATATATATATATATATATATATATATATATATATAACGTACCGGTAGTGTCCGTCGATGGCGTAGCGGCGGAGGGAAGCGATCGGTCTGAGACGGTGCGGCCGTGGGGAGGAGAGGGTGAAGCGACGGCGGCGGGGGAATGAAGTTGCAGCGGCGGCGCGGGGACGACGTCGGCGGGGAAGGAGTGTGCGTCGGGGACGACGTCGGCGGGTTGCAGCGGCGTCGGCAGCGGCGGGGGAGGCGGTAGGAAGAAGAGATGGAGGAGATGGATGAGAGGGGAGGAGATGGATCGGAGGAAATGGAGGAGATGCGATGCGGTGGTCTGAGATCGGGTCGTCTGATCTGTCTTGGCTTTATTTAATAACCTTTATAACGTCGGCTAACTAACGGCTACTTTAGTTAGCCGACGTTATAAAGAAAAAAAAATTAGAAAAAAAAATTAAAAAGAATACGACGTCGGCTATATAGTCAGCCGACGTCTTATTATATATTTTTTTTCTTTATAACGTCGGCTAAAGGGAAATAGCCGACGTTATATATAAATAATTTTTTTTTAAAAAGTAATAAACGACTTACAACGTCGGCTATTAATATAGCCGACGTCGTAGGTTACGTATTTCTTTTATATTTTTATGTTTTATTTATAACGTCGGCTATTAATAAATAGCCGACGTTATAAACTTAATTATAAAAAAAAAAAAATTTAAATGTTTTTAACGTCGGCTATTTATATAGCCGACGTTAAAGACCCGACGTTGTATGTGAATTCTGTAGTAGTGTAACTATCAGTTAGGTCAAAGGTTGGAAGTCATTAGAATACCAAAAATACCCGTCACTTATTAAAAGTCAAAATTCAATTGTGTGGATATTTTTGTAAAGGCACCTCCTTTTTCACCCAACCGGTCGAAAAGCCACCATTCCACTCAAAATTCTCCAAAACCTTTACACCTTCCATAGCTGAAAACTCTCTAGCTTCATCTCTCTCAATCTCAAATCCAAAAATACGAAACACACTATGGCCGCCATTGGAGATTCAAGCTCTCACCCGAATGAAGAACAACTCAATCTTGCCAAGCTAGCAGTTGGAATCAAGGCCGGAGGAAGCTTTGACCCACACGGATTTCTCAAAGAGGCCAAGAACTCTCAACTTGCACAAAGAATCATCCATGCACTTCAACAAAGCAATCTCATGAGGTTATGTTCTTATCCATACTCTGGATTTTATGATGAGGATGTTGCAGAATTTTATGTGAATGCCAAGGTTGTTGGATGGACCATTGAGTCCACCGTGAATGGAACTCTCATCACCATTGATGAACAAGAGTTGCACACAACTTTTGGATTTCCTATATCTAGTCCAGAACAACCACTGTTGGACTTAGATATACACACATATGATCACACGGAAGTTTGGACAGAAATTCAAAATGAGAATGCTTCTCTCGAACCAAATCTTTCCGGTCAAAAATCTGATTTGAAGTTAGAGTATGAAATGCTAGTCAAAATCCTCTACAAATGTGTTTTATGCATACTGAATAGTATGGAGGATATTTCACCTGTGAGAATTGGATATTTGCATGCTGCGATGAATGGTGTTAGAGGTGACTGGATTAAGCTTATTTTGAGCCGGATTGCACATTTTGTGAAAGGTGCAAAGATTAGGAATTGCAAGTTCAACCACATTCTAGGTTTCGGGTTACTTATTGGAGAAATTATAAAGAGAAAAGGATTGCCAATGAGGTCTAGAAAGCCATTTGGAAACAACCGGATTTTGTTTAAAGATCATGAAGTGTCAACCGAGTTGAATTCCAAAAGGAAGAGGAAACCGAAAGGAATCCCTGCTAGAAAAAAGCCAGTAGCAGAAATTCTTGGTTTAGCTTCTCAACCCTCAATCTAACCCCATGAAAATCCAACCTCTAGTCACGAACCAAATTCAAGCCAAAATCCTAACTGTTATAATAATAATATTATTATTATTATTATTATTATTATTATTATTATTATTATTATTATTATTATTATTATTATTATTATTATTATTATTATTATTATTAAACCAAGTAGTGGGATTATTTGCTTAATACATGGGATTGCAACATGCTTAATACGTGGGATTGTAGCATGGAGTTCGCAGCAGTACGTGGAGTTTATTAGCATCAATTTAGGACTTTTGCTATTCATGTTTTAGTATAAATAGGTTCAATTACAAAGCATTTCAAAGATATCAAGTGAATAAACATCTATTCATATTTCTCTCTCTCCCTCTTTCTTCTCAAATATATATATTATATATATTATAGATATATTATATTATATTTAATATATATTATATTGAATATATTATATTATATTTAATATATATTATATTAAATATATTAAATATATTATATTTAATATATCCAACACTAACTCAAGACAAAATCCTACCACAAGCCAAAATCCCACCATAAGTCACAATACCACATCAAACCTCAATCCCAACACAAGCCAAAATGTCTTGAACCCTTTTTCCCGAATAGCCGAATTGGAGACGGTGATGAATGAGGAAATTTATCAAGTTGATGCACTTGATTTGATATTGGTAAATGAATACCGAAGAGTTCTCAATTGGAGAAATTGGAGACTAGGTTCTTATCAAGAGTTGATGACAAAAGGACCGAGTATGCAAGAAGAAGAAATATTTTCGTTGAATTGGATTGGCAGTTTTGATGTTGGCCATGCGACATTGATTTCTACTGTAAATGGAGCTTTTGTGAGAAAATTAAAAGCTAAGTTGGCCGACACTTCTCATGATGACACAGTCCAAGGAAACATGCCAACTGAAGATGATTTTTTAGTTGACATTGATGAGTTTGTTACAAGGAACGAAGAAGAAGAAAATGTCACACATGGTGCACATTTATTGGACAGTGGTCTATATGATGTTAGTGTGTTGAATCAAACAGAAATTAGCCAAGAACATCATGCCATGCAACTCAGCCACCATATGGAGGAAATTCAATCAATCCATGCAGAAAGTATGCAAGGTGACACACACGTGTTTCACACGCCAGAAAGAGAAGGGAATTTACTAGAAAATCAAGCACAATCTCACATGCTTGGAGAATATTCTGCTCAAGAAGGAGCAAGGTGTATTCCCGCAACCCAAGAAGATCAAAACATTGATGGCACAACCTCAAATGAAAAATTGAAAAATCTGGAGAATGTTGTACTAAGTCTTGTTGACCGAATGGATAGTATGTTTCAAGGTATCTACACTCATGTGGATAATGTTGTCAATACTCAAGGAGGAAAATTCGAAGCATCATTTGATGAAAACCGGAGGAGTCAACAACACCTGATTGACACACATCAAGCACTTGAGAGACAAGTTGGTGGATTGAACACAAATGTCAAAGGGCAACTCAATGAGTTCTGTTACAGATTGGATGAATTGTATGTATATTTCCTGGATTCAATTACAAAGGATGAAGTCCTATATATATACAAAATGTGAGATAAAGAAAAGGAAAGAAAATCAAGGAAAATTAATGAGAATAATAATAGACCAAAAATACAAAGCTAAAATATATACGTTAGAATATATACGTTAACACCCCCCCTCAAACTCAAGGTGGGATAGTAGAAGTCAACTTGAGTTTGCGCAGTAAGAACTGAAACCGTCCAGGGAGATGAGCTTTAGTAAAAATATCTGCTGATTGATCTTCGGAAGAAACATGAGTAAGTTGTACAGTGCCATGTTTAATATGTTGG